GAAGCCATTTCGTACCGGTCCAGCCGAACACCGAACATTTCGGTCACACTTGAATCACTTCGCACACACATGTTGACGATTAATCATGATTCATCATTATCATCATGATAATACATGATTCACGACATGCGATGTAGAATAGAGAAAAAATTTTTCACAGGTTTAAAAGAAATAAAGTCATAAATGTAAATAATAATAAGCCGAACACCGAACATTTCGGTCACACGTAAATCCCTTCGCATACACATGTTAACGATTAATCATAATTCATCATTATCATTATTATAATACATGATTCACGACATACGATGTAGAATAGAGGGAAATATTTTTGGAGGTTTAAAAAGAAATAATGTTCAGTCTCATTGTCATGCGATTTATTTTTTTACTATAGAGGCTTGTGCGGATGAACTGGGAAATATTAATTGTGCATAAAAATGCAAACAAAATTTTTCGCTAATGTATTTTTATCAAAGCTTTTTTCATTAGACTTAAGAAAGCTGTCCGGTCATAGTTTATTAACGCCTTAAAATTCCCTCTAGTGAAAATTGAATACTGGACGGGAATTACTTTTTATATAGAAATACATTTAAATATTGCATGCAACATCCAATATATTATTTTAGCAGATAGGCCGTGATTCTACTAGACCATGCATCAAAATATTGCTATATGCAAAAGCAGCTTTTGATGGGGTAATTGACTTACTTTATGATCAGGAGACCATTACGGAATTTAGGTAAGGACAATGTATGTACAAAATATAAGTACATGTATAATTTTCTTCGGCAATGTTCACTGAAAACTTCACCCCACATTTTCTAATATTTTCGTCTTGAGTTTCTATACGCAAATGTTAAACAAACTTAATTTATGTAGTGCACACTAAGAAACATTCCAGACAGCGCAGTATTGCTAAGATTGCCTATGCATTGCAGAGGTACAATACCATGCACATAAGTTCGGTTTACTTAGATTAAATGTTAACTAAAAATTAAGTAAGCACACAGACTCAATTTCACAAAAAATACTCAAGACACGAACATAAGTTAGTGCATCCTAAAAACGGAGGAGGATTAAAAATACAAGATATTATGCCAGCAAACACGCTCTCTTTATACGGCCATCGATCATCGTGGTTACGCTTGTATAATAATTCTAAGGTAGATCCTGATGAAAAAACAGCATTGCGTAAAATTGCCCTCGCAGCACTCGGGTTCTGTCTGTTATTTGACGCGGTGAGTAAAGTGAGATGTCAGCAGACACGAAATGTGACTCAAGTAATTACTCACGCTATTGAAATAACTGTATTGTTAGAAATGAGTTGGTAGAACCTTTATTTAATATGAGTTGGTAGAACATAAATTGAATATGAGTTGGTAGAACCTAAATTGGTAAAACATCAATTTATAAAACCCCGTTGGTAGAACATAAACTGGTAGAATCTCGTTGATTTAGAACCTAAATTGATAGAATCTCGCTCTAATTGCATTTAACTTAGAAATGTTGTTTTGAGTCAGGCAGTTTGAAAGAGTCCTTACCGTGTCATGTACTTGCAAAAGGAAAAATTAATTGTCGAGCGACTGGTTTTGCCATGTCGTATCATAAAGTTGCATGAGGCATTGTGATATATTTGATATAAATGAATTGCATAATGCCCCTGAAAATATGAATTGCAGATGAATCTGTTGATACAAACAACAGATTTTTCTAAATAAATGAAATTAGATCCTCATACAAAAAACATATTCGTAATTACCAAAAATGGTCGCTACTTTCCGATGTCTCTGGCCAGATTAGAACTGTTGATACGTGCCAACTAAACGTTAATGAGTCAACCAGAGGTGAAAACTCCTTGAACGCTGAGCAAATGTAAACCTACCTCCTATTTGGAGAGTTTTATTTAGAGTTCAATGCTGGTAAAGAAATTAGATTTTTTTACTATTAATGCTTGAATAACACTCATTTTACCTCGTATCGTGAAATTTTCTGGGTTCAATCCCAGTCTGAGCGACGATATGTCGTGTTTCTGAGGGAAATCCTGGCAATATGTCGTGTTCTAAAAGGAAAACCTACAGTTAAATTTTCGGTGATGTTGCTTTTATAATATGGTACATCGGTTTATAGTCATCAGATGCTTACGAATTGCTGAAAAATATAAAGTTATGATAAGATTACTGGAACGTTTTAACCAAAATAGCATTAATATCAATATCATGGCGCTTGTCAACGTTCAAAGGCTGAAATTTCCTGTTTACTATGAGCACATTCCCAAATTTTATTATAGAAATTTGGAAGAATTTCAACATAAAATTTTTTTTATAACGCGTTTGCAATAAAATTTTTTAAGCGCATTTGAAACACTTTTTGTTCGGATTAATTTAAATCAGGCATTGGTCGGATCTTTTAACATGCATAGATAATTGAAAATTGAAGTAGCCGGTTTTGCCGCTTCGAGATGCTCAAGTTCAAGCAGCAAATATTTTGCAAAAATTACTTGATTACATCATATCATATTAATATATTTTGATATTTATGTTTCTTCGACCATATAACGACTGTCCATTCCCACGTTTTTGCCAATAGCGTAATATTAGAGTGGCACTAGCTTTCAATGGCCGTTCCCTCGCTGTCCTCTTTTTCTTGCAATGGTTCTACCACATACCTAATATCATAATTAATTATTTCCTATATTATTTGTCACCAAACTATAAATTATTCTGAAATTAAATGGAAATTTCCATCACGAAAATGAGTGATCCAAATGTGAGATGAAGCCTTAAAATCGCAATGCATTAAAAATAAACAGATAATTACGTCGCGATGGAAAAAATCGGAAGTACTGACATACAATTAATTATTTATCGTTCATTTTGTTTAAAAATTTTAATGGTTGTCGGATAATCAATATAACTAATGATTGTCTCTCATCAGTATAGCTTAGGGTTTTGCATGCCGCGCAGACCTGTTCACTAACTGCATCATTCAAAATCCTAGTCTCATCGAACGGATTTACGATGAATCAAACACGGACTGTTTGACTGGTTGGATACAGCAGTGTAGTCTTGCAGATTTTTATCTGTAGACTTGAGTGAAATATTGAGTTCAGTATACCTTATTTGCTGCGAAAATTTAGAACTCTTGATTTATGACTGTCACTTTCACTGGCATTGTGTATTCTTAATTAAGCCTGATTCATTTTTGTCTAAACTTTTTCGAAAAGGAACAGAAAATTAAAAAGAAAAACATAATTTTGTTATCGAACATTCAATGTTACATCTCTAATTTTTAAAATCAGGGTTCATAAATTTTATTAAGGGTAAAGTGGTAAATCCCTTTAAATATTTCTGACAGATTGCGAGCCTATTTTTAGTATTGGTCATTAAATTTGAGCCTTTGTTCGCAAGAGCTCCCTTATTGGTTTTATTTAGATCGAAATTTAATATAAATGTGGACTTCGGTGTAAAATGCTTGTTCTAACTCGGAATTAAAGGAATGCTGAATTGAAGGATAAGAGTATTTAAATTTCAGGGCTAATCTATCCATGGTAACGTCTAGTAATGTTATTAGCTTTCTAAAATGGCTGACGCGCAACTTGCTTTTCCTTATGTTGAAATTAATAAATATATTAGCAGCTAAGAACAACAATTACCATTATTAGTGCTTGAGTTACATGGAAATTTCAAGAACCACAGATAAATCCATGAGTAACAAAGTAAAATATAATCATTTTAATGCTTTTAAACTATTAAATTGAACAATTTGATTAAAGTCTAATCATTTGTTTAATTTGTTTTGCGATCTTATTTTTAACGCATTTTCTCATTTACGGAAAAAAGGCGTTATTAATTGTGCTCGTCATGTCCGTCCGTTTGTCTGTCTGTCCGTCTTTCTGTCCGTGACTTCACATTTTCGTCGACAGGAAAATGCGCTCGCTGTCACTCACTGCAGTGAGTACTGAGTTATATTTTTTTTTCAAAAATCCAAGCGTGATTTCTGTTTCGTTAAGGAATAAATAAAGTTATTTGAATTTTAAAAATAATTATCATAAAAATATCGAATTCATAATAAATTTTTAATTTGAAATCAAATTTTGCATGAGGATTTCGAGACTGGGAAACGTCCATCTACAGTCAACTTTTTAATTGAGGTCAGGGTTCACGTTCGTTCTTTGAGAATACGTTAAAAATCTTCGTTGAAACTCGTCTTTCATAATTATTACGAAGTTTCAGAAGCAGCAAAACACTAAAATTTTGACGATAAGATGGAAATAAATATATTCGTTCGTAAATGGTGTCGGGTGACAATATTTTTCAAAATTTGGTTAAAATTTGACAAAATTTCGACATGATGTGAAGAATAGCAGCCCTGAAAGGCACTTTGTGACTACACTTCTCACTGAGGTGAACTATGGCCTTCCTTTTGTGATTTTTCTTGATGCCGTGAGGCCCGCTTATATTATACTTGAACATGCGAAAGTTCATTCTTGGCTGCTTCACTATGTGAACTTTCTGGCCTGTGCAATGAATATAGTTTTCATATTGTATGCTTATCCTATGAAAATATGTGTTTTTACCATGAATGTCTATGTCTATTCTGGTGCTAAATATATGCCATAGCTGCAGAAAAAATTAACTTCAATACTAAGAAGGATGAAGCCTGGGCTCTAAAGCATGCAATGACCCCTCATCTTCAGACACACGTGTTCTTTTTAGGGCTCCATATGCAAGGGGAATTTGGAACACGTGTTTTCAAATCACGTGAATATTCCACCCGTGGGACTCACTCTTGTTCACGTAACAAAATTTCTATCAACTTTTCCGCAGTGAAGTGAAGCAGTGACGATGAAGACTGCAGGTGAAGGTAATGCTTTAGTTCACCTGGACACCGCCCTCTGCGGTTAATCATGGAAAGCTCCTCCTCGTTGATACCTTTTAACCCCGCCCGGCGCCGGCATGGAGCGATCCAGCGGCGCTGGAACGGTGAGCGAGACCCGCATGAGCACCAGTTCTGAGTGACGCGGAATGGGGAGCGTCACGACTTCCATTCCCTTAACACGATTGCGTTGGTGATCTTTTGGGCTGAAAATATTGAATTAAAATCCAAATTGAGCGCTGGTAAAGGTGATTTGTTTTCAGACTTGTGTGCTAGTTTAAAATAATGCCGCGGCCAACGAGGGAGAGCTATGGTGACCAGAAGCCACCTTATTCATACATTTCACTCACTGCAATGGCCATCTGGAACAGTCCTGAAAAGATGTGCACACTCGCTGACATTTATAAGTTTATTACGGACAGCTTTCCGTACTACCGCAAGAACACCCAGCGCTGGCAGAACTCGCTGCGACACAACTTATCCTTCAACGATTGTTTTATCAAAATTCCTCGGCGTCCCGACCGACCCGGTAAAGGTGCATACTGGACGTTGCATCCTTCAGCCATGAACATGTTTGAAAATGGGAGCTTCCTTCGACGCAGAAAAAGATTTCGAGTTTCGAGACCAGACAAAGAGGCTCTTGAAGTTGGTCTACAACAAATCAACGGACAGCTTAACTGTGGACAACTCCGATCTGAAGAACAAGAGAGATTCGTGAGTGAATCATCCCTCTCTCCCCTCAAACTTATAGACGATATCCCGACACCTACTGCCGCTTTGAGCAGCTCTATGCATTTGCCCCATCTTGCGTCTCCCTATCACCTGGGAGCCTTGCCATCCCCTATCTTCTACCCTCCACCTTTTGCAAGTTTGGCTGCAGCGGCCGCAGCCTGGGGCGCCGCTCCGATTTTGGCTGCTTCTTTGCCGTACAGAGTCCCAAATTTTACACCATCAGCCCCGTCAATGATTTTGCCACCTCCCACGTCACTGAGCAGCGCTTCTCTCTCTCTTCTCCACTTCCGTGCTTCAGGGCTGCAGGGTTTACCCTTGCCTCATCTTGCTTCTCTGCCGCCTTCGTCAGGACCACCGACGATGGTCTTCTCAGGAATGAGGCCTGCTCCTGTAGTGCCAAGACCCATCCGGCCTCTACCCCTCAAGGGCATTCTACCCCCGCCTAGCGCCATGGAGCCTCTTAAAGGAGTTACATGAACAATGATAAGATATTTCATGTTTTATTGCTTGGTGTTGCCCAAATAATCCTGGAATAAAAACCCTGTTTTAAAAGGTAGTATTATAGCGGTGTACAAATTTTAGTGTAACTTGTTTCATTCTCAGTGTTTGGACTAGTAAAACTAGGGCATTCAATTAAATAGGTTGTTCTTCGTTGAGCATACTTGAACTAGCTTCCATTGTATTTTGCCCGTATCAAACTCTCGAGGAATGTGTTTTTGTACTTAAACCTATCATGCCTTTAGCACCTTCACTAAGGTATAACTTAGCGATATGAGTGCTTGTATGGAGCCTCTAGTCATAAAGTGTTGTAATATATTAAATGTTTGTGTTTTTATTAAAGTGTAAATCATTTTTTAAAAGTATTTCATTTTCCGAAAAGGCTTCTTTTCTTTAGCTTGTTGGACAATATTTACAATAGAAAATATTGGTGTGGTGTTCAAAATTGATTCATTGAAATGAATGATAACTTTATTCGATTTTTTATTTCATTTTTTCTTATTATCTTATCCAATTTATAATAATGCAGAAAGCAATATAAATTTTATTACATTGGTCAGTGAACAGAAAGGATTTGAGACCTCGATTTCTCTACACAGCATTTATTCACCACTAGGAGCTGCAAATGCTATAAGAAATTAATTATAAAATTTGTTATGCCTCGCACGCGAATAATTATACGTTTGAACTAAACTCTTTCCTGTAAGGCCGATAAATTCCGTTTTGCATTAGATAAAAGAAATTAATAACAGTATTTCGTTCGATGTGAGGGCAGAGAAAATATTAGTTTAATATTTGGTGTATTTGACTTAATTAAAAGCTTTTGACTTAAAGGAATTCCGAAACGATTAGAAAATAATTAAATTTAATACCAGTATCCATGCTAAAATATTCAGCTTTATGCTCTGAGCCCTCTGAAGTATACAAGCTAAATCGCCCTACCGGAATATGACAGTTCAAAATTGTAGTGTTCACTCTTTGAAAAATGCCGCTAGTTGTTGAGCTGTTCATAAAATTTGATATTATTTTATTATTAAAATCAAAGTAATGCCTTATTTTCAATATTTTGAACCACTGTACATCACGTTAATTTTTCTTTATTTATTGAACTGTTTCATCATGCAATCAGAAAGGCAAAAAATGTGCTCTTAATAATGAGAGAATAATAGTAATTAGCGAATATAGATTTGAAAATTTCTGGCAGCACCAGAAAGTCAAACTTTTCAAAAAAATTTGAACTGCTTACCCCTTAGGAAAATGATTTTCAGTACATATTATCTAAAGTTGTTAATAATGTGAACAAAATTATTTTGAATAAGGCGCAATAATATGCAGTCAGACTTTAAACTTATAGTAACTCGCTCTCGTTTTTAACATTATGCCAATTCAAACTCAGCTAAAAGATAAATAAAATTGGTTTCGAAAAATATTTTCTCTGTATGGCACTTCTATAACTGAAACATTAAAAAAAATCATACATTAGCGAGTGCGGGGTTCATAAAATAAATTGTAGTCATTTTATCAACAGTGTTTATATTTATTTTATTCTTATTGAACTGTCAAAAGGGTTCAGGGTAGAAAGTTTTTACCCTGAGTTGGAGAACATAATAGGCCACACGTGAATTTACTTTGTTTCAAAGCTAGCGGATTTTTCCTGTTGGAAACACAACCTGTAAAAACTTTAGAGCTTCGGTATAACAAGCATAAATTTGTTACATGGATTTTTGTTCGCAAATTTTTACTTTACAGCTCAGTTCTATGGCCACCCAATCATTGTTTGCTGCCTATATGCCTATAAATTCTAATTTGAGGGTTATAGAGTAAAATTTTAAAGTTTCAATAAAAAATATTTAAGTTTTATAAGAAAGCAAGCACGAAATTATTGTTTACTACTAATAAAATCTGATTTGAGTGTTTTAGTACAGCATATTAGAAAATATGTATACGTTAATATCGGGAAACTCTTTTGATCATTTCTACTGAGACCAAAATGCTATGAAATGCAACAATAACGCCATCAATTTTGATATCAATACGCGTTCTATAATAATTCTGCAAACGCAGACGAGGAAATTATGTAATGTTTAAATTTTTCTGAAGAAATATTAGTAAATCAAACCGGCACTCAATGGAAAATCGAGCAAAATATCAGATGGCCTCAAAAATAATATCACTTGTGACAAATAATATGCCTAAAAAATATTAGCATTCAAGTGCCCTGGCAAGGTGACAATGCAACGCTGCGTTGGAAATTCGATCCATAACAGAGATAGCCTTAGCAATGAGACAATTTTTTGCTTTAAATATCAAGTAACGTCACCATATTTCTTACCTGAAGATTAAATGGCGTCACGAGGTTGAAATTGATTTCGGCACAACGCGAGACGACAGGAGCATGTACTCGTATAAGTGCCTGAAAATTCCAAGCTTTGCTTCGACTAATATACCATCCAAGCCACTATTTTAATGAAAATCAGAACCTCCTTAAAAACCCGCGGATGACTTATAGATGGCAGAAATATGACTATTTAGGCTGACGCTCCCATCAATGCGGATAAAATCACCCAAAAGGATTATTGGTAATGGAAATATGGTTTGCCCTGCATTAACTGCGAAAAAAATAATACAAAATGTTCAGCGGTGACAGAAATACGGTTTTAGAGCACAGATATAAGGATGTAGAGCACAGAAATACGGATGTATTGCACAGAAATACGGATGTAGAACACAGAAATAAGGTTGTAGGACACAGAAATACATGTAACCGCTGCCTTGCAGTCTAAGATGGTTACGTACCATTCTAGTAATGGTCTTCACGTTCACTGACTTAGTAATTCACACAAGGGCATGAAACTATGGATATTCAACACAAATTTTATTACAGCAAAGTTTCGCCAAACGGGCTTCAAGTTAGTGTCACAGGTCTAATGCCGCTGGTTGAAATTATTTGCATTTTCGTCTGCAAAGGGATTCAGGGCTATTACATACAGTAATAAATCCTTATATCATTAGTCTGCTTATATCGCAAGTTCACAAGGAATTTAAAAGCAAAGAAAACGCCAAGAAAATTCACCATATCGATATTGAAAACGTTTCGGAGTCCAGCTCCATCATCAGTTCGACTAAACTAAAAATGAATAAAATCACTTTAAAAGTCAAAATTCAAAGACAGACATAAAACCTAAACAAGACCTAACATTATATCGAAATAAACAGGACTAGTTATGAACAACTTAGTCCCTGTCTCTTATACACATCTAGATGTGTATAAGAGACAGGCACAGAAATACGGATGTAGAGCACAGAAATACGGATGTAGAGCACAGAAATACGGATGTAGAGCACAGAAATACGGATGTAGAGCACAGAAATACGGAGATAGAGCACAGAAATACGGAAGTAGAGCACAGAAATACGGATGTAGAGCACAGAAATACGGAGATAGAACACAGAAATATGGAAGTAGAGCACAGAAATACGGATGTAGAGCATAAAAATACCGATGTAGATCACAGAAATACGTATGTAGAACACAGAAATACGGCCGTAGAGCACAGAAATACGGATGTAGATCACAGAAATACGTACGTAGAGCACAGAAATACGGATGAAGAACACAGAAATACGAACTTAGAGCCCATAAATACAGAGGTAGAGCACAGAAATACGGACGTAGAGCACAGAAATACGGATGTAAAGCACCGAAATACGGACTTAGAGCACATAAATACAGAGGTAGAGCACAGAAATAAGACATTGCCGGGCGTCGGCGCTGCTGAGAGTCTCAGTGAGGCGACAATGTGACGTTGCATGAGTCGGCCATGCAGCCCAGCATTGGAGGGCAGCAGTCGTCACGACATCGCTCCTGGCGCACACCAAACAGCTACTGTTCTCGCAACGCGCTTAACCTACACATTGATTTACCAATTTACTCAGGAATTACATCGGGAACACGAGTACAGTTTAGCGATGAGGTATGAGTTCTCTTTCGCAGTCGCTGCTTAGAGAAGTTGAAGCAATTTTTGTTGAAATAGGAGCAGGATATCGCGAAATATTTGGTATATTCATCTAAAATCATATGTGTGGTCCATCTTTTGATTCATCTTAAAATTAAAAACGGATGCTATAATTCGTGACTATGAAAGTTAAAAACCAATTTAAAGTATCATATGAAGTAAATTTGTATCTTATCTTTCACTTTTAGTTTATGTTGCCTACAAAGACATAGTAATCGCCGAGGCCAGTGCAATGATGCCTATGAAATTAAGAGTTGGATTTGGCGCCTTAATTATGTTCTCCTTGAGCAGTACATATGAGTTTGTTGCTATATATAAAAATTCAATTCATATAATTATAGTTTTAAGTATAACAACCCTTCTGTAGTAAATTGTTTCAAAAAATAAGTCTTGAATGCTTAAAAAATATTTATGCATACGCTTGAATGTTTTAAGAATTCAAGAAGTTGAAGTTTAAAGCCGTTCCAATCATTAAACTTCTTCAGACATGAACAATTAATTTTATTTTGTATAAGCGCTTGTTCTATCGTTAGTGGCTGTGATCAAAGCTAGGCTTTCCACAGATGATTATTAATTGGTATAACAAATAATAGTTGACGAATTTCCAGGCCTATTTCACTCTAAATCTCGAGCTCACGATGCCTCTATAAGTTTTTTAATGAGATTTTCGTGCAGTAATGCATCAATTTTTGTAAGTGAAATAAACGTGTTAAAATCCTGTGGCAACATGAAGGGCGGAAATAGTAAAGGCGACATATTATTCGCATTCAGCAAGTTCGTCTTCTAACTACCTAATCCAGTTCATTTATCTCATTAATCTAAGTAGGTTAATTTCAGTAATTATTCCATCACTGCGTTGTGTATGCAATAATTGGCTGATGAAATTGAAGAATAAAAGTAACCTTGAACTGCGACATAAAAAAATATATCCTCAGTTGTCATGCAGCATTCACAAGCAATGCGCAGAAATGTAGTCCATGCAATTGAAATTAAATGTGAGAAGGACTTCTAAATTCTTTTCCTCAATATGCAATCACGAATCACATTTAGGTTCATTTGTGGTAATAATATTGCCGAGAAATGCCACCGCTCAGACCGTGATCATTAAAAAAAACCTGAATCCCAAACTGGATTGGTTGAAAACAAAGCAAATTACCGAATTACTCTTCAAAGTGTACAAGTCTGAATCACGCTTAAACCCAAACTGGAAAACTCGACGGACTACAAACAGAACTTCCATCTGTGTTTAGTGAAATAGATTTGACTGTAATTGGCTGTAAATTAGAGCGCTTCACTTATCCTGTTAATTCGAGACTTGTTGCGGCACTGCTTGGACT